TATGGTTACTCTGTTTACTGCACACATCCCAATGGTTATGGTTACTATGTTTACTGCACACAGCACAATGGTTATGTTACTATGGTTACTGCACACAACACAATGGTTATGGTTACTATGGTTACTGCACACAGCACAATGGTTATGGTTACTATGGTTACTGCACACATCACAATGGTTATGGTTACTATGGTTACTGCACACAGCACAACGATTATGGTTACTATGGTTACTGCACACAACACAATGGTTATGGTTACTATGGTTACTGCACACAACACAATGGTTATGGTTACTATGGTTACTGCACACAGCACAATGACCTCTCACTGCTAGTACTACTTGTCAGTTTTGTCAGCTCTACTTTGCATGCAATCTAACCCAGAATCCATTGTTTCCCCCCGAGTTACAATGACATCAGACATGAATCATGCTTTGAGGTCCATACCAAGTACTTGGTGAAATTTGTAGTCATTACAGTGCAGTGCAGAGCTCTGCTGTGCTCCAGAGGAGAGGGGAGGAGGGCCGCGTCCCAAATGGCACCCGATTCCCTATATAGTGCACTACATTTGACCAGGGCCCATAGGGAATAAGTAGGGAATAAGGTGCTATTTGGAACGCAGCCTAGATGTGCTGAAGTGCTACTCCATGTAACTGGGTCTTTAATGGCTCCACGTCCCCCAACTGCATTGAGTATTCACACTGCAGACTCCAGCTGTCAATCAGAGCTGTGGTAGTCAATGGAGAGAAAGAAGAGGCCTTTAGCTGCTCTTGATTTGGCACTGGCCTTTGGGAACCTGGCAGGGTATAAGTTGTGGCTGGGGCCAGGGCCGGGCCAGGGCTAGGGTATAAGTTGTGGCTGGGGCCCGAGCTAGGGCTGGGGCTAGGGTGTAAGTTGTGGCTGGGGCCAGGGCCGGGCCGGGCCGGGGCTAGGGTATAAGTTGTGGCTGGGGCCAGGGCCGGGCCGGGGCTAGGGTATAAGTTGTGGCTGGGGCCAGGGCCGGGCCGGGGCTAGGGTATAAGTTGTGGCTGGGGCCGGGCCGGGGTTAGGGTATAAGTTGTGGCTGGGGCCAGGGCCGGGCCGGGCCGGGGTTAGGGTATAAGTTGTGGCTGGGGCCAGGTCCGGGCCGGGGCTAGGGTATAAGTTGTGGCTGGGGCCAGGGCCGGGCCGGGGCTAGGGTATAAGTTGTGGCTGGGGCCAGGGCCGGGCCGGGGCTAGGCTATAAGTTGTGGCTGGGGCCAGGACCGGGCCGGGGTTAGGGTATAAGTTGTGGCTGGGGCCAGGGCCGGGCCGGGCCAGGGCTAGGGTATAAGTTTTGGCTGGGGCCAGGGCCGGGCCGGGGTTAGGGTATAGGGCTTGGAGTCTGTGTGGCTTATTTGGGAAGAGTGTAGCTTTAACAATGCCAGGGTTGTGGTTTCAATTCCTGCAGGCAGGGGTCACATATACTTTTGATAAAAGCTTCTGTTCAATGGCATATATTGGGGCTGGAGTTATAGAGCTGGGGTTTGGGGGTGGAGCTGGAACTGGAGCTGAGGTCTAAGGCTCGGCGCTGAGGTATAGGGCTGGGGGTTGGGGGCTGGGGTATAGGGCTGGGGGCTGGGGTATAGGGCTGGGGGATGGGGTATAGGACTGGGGGATGGGGTATAGGGCTGGGGGCTGGGGTATAGGACTGGGGGATGGGGTATAGGGCTGGGGGATGGGGTATAGGACTAGGGGCTGGGGTATAGGGCTGGGGGGATGGGGTATAGGGCTGGGGCTGGGGTATAGGACTGGGGGATGGGGTATAGGGCTGGGGGCTGGGGTATAGGACTGGGGGATGGGGTATAGGACTAGGGGCTGGGGTATAGGGCTGGGGGATGGGGTATATGGCTGGGGGCTGGGGGCTGGGGTATAGGACTGGGGGATGGAGTATAGGACTGGGGGATGGGGTATATGGCTGGAGGCAGGGGTATATGGCTTGGGGCTGAGGTGTAGGGCTGGGGGCTGAGGTATAGGACTAGGGGCTGGGGTATAGGACTAGGGGCTGGGGTATAGGACTGGGGGATGGGGTATAGGGCTGGGGGATGGAGTATAGGACTGGGGGATGGAGTATAGGACTGGGGGATGGGGTATATGGCTGGAGGCAGGGGTATATGGCTTGGGGCTGAGGTGTAGGGCTGGGGGCTGAGGTATAGGGCTGGGGGATGGGGTGTCGGGCTGGGGGATGGGGTAGAGGGCTGGGGGCTGAGGTGTAGGGCTGGGGGATGGGGTGTCGGGCTGGGGGATGGGGTAGAGGGCTGGGGGCTAATGTGTAGGGCTCGGGGATGGGGTAGAGGGCTGGGGGCTAATGTGTAGGGTTCAGGGATGGGGTATATGGCTGGGGGCAGGAGTATATGGCTGGGGGTGAGGTGTATGGCTGGGAGATGGAGTATATGATTGAGGGGTATGGTATATGGCTTGGGATGGGGTATGGGTTGGGGTATAGGGCTGGGGGATGGTGTCTAGGGCTGGGGATGAAATATAGGGCTGGGGGCTGAGGTATAGGGCTGGGGGCTGAGGTGTAGTGCTGGGGGCTGAGGTATAGGGCTGGGGGCTGAGGTATAGGGCTGGGGGCTGAGGTATAGGGCTGGGGGCTGAGGTATAAGGCTGGAGGATGGGGTAAAGATCCTGGTTCAAATCCAGGCTCTGTCGCAGCCGGCCGCGACCGGGAGACTCATGGGCGGCGCACAATTGGCCCAGCGTCGTCCAGGGTAGGGGAGGGAATGGCCGGCAGGGATGTAGCTCAGTTGATAGAGCATGGCGTTTGCAACGCCAGGGTTGTGGGTTCGATTCCCACGGGGGGCCAGTATAAAAAAAAATATGTATTCACTAACTGTAAGTCGCTCTGGATAAGAGCGTCTGCTAAATGACTAAAATGTAAATGTAAATGTAAAGGGATGGGGGCTGAGGTGTAGGGCTTGGTGATGGGGTATATGGCTGGGGGCTGAAGTGTAGGGCTGGGGGTGGGGTATGGGGCTGGGGGGTGGGGGCAGGGGTATAGGGCTTGGGGGTGGGGTGTATGGCTGGGGGATGGAGTATATGACATGATGGGTGTGGTATATGGCTTGGGGGATGGGGTATGGGGATGGGGTATAGGGATGGGGGATGGGGTATAGGGCTTGGGGCTGGGATATAGGGCTGGGGGGTGGGGTATAGGGCTGGGACTAGGGCTTTGTCTCACTGTGCTGTTGAGCTGCTTGAGAGCTTTTTGCAAGATGTATTTCCTCAGTTCTGTTCATTCTGCTACAGGCACAGCCCTCTGGCAGGCAGGCAGGGAGGCAGGGAGGGAGGGAAGGGAGGGAGGTAGGTAGGGAGGGAGGCAGGCAGGCAGGCAGGCAGGCAGGCAGGCAGGCAGGCAGGGAGGGAGGGGAGGGAGGGAGGAGGGGATGGAGGGCAGGCAGGCAGGCAGGCAGGCAGGCAGGCAGGCAGGGCAGCAGGCATGCAGCAGGCAGGCAGGCAGGGAGGGAGGGAGGAGAGAGAGAGGAAGGGCGAGAGAGAGAGAGAAAAGAGATGAGAGGAGAGAGAAAAGGGCGAGAGAGATGAGGAGAGAGAGAGGAGGGAAAGGAAGTTGAGGGAGGTAGGGGGGGGGGGGAGGGAGGGGGATGGGAGGAGGGGGAGGAGGGGGGATTGAAGGAAGAGAGAGAGGGAAGAGAGGATAGAGAGAGAGGAGAGAGGAGATAGGGAGATCAAAGACGTATGTTTTTTTTAAATCTTTTGGAGAACGAGTCCCTTTTATGTCCTCCCCCGCTCTTCCGCCCGTCATGTCTTACTGTTTTGCTTCGTGTTAAA